TTGTTTCTTGCCCTTATAGGCAGCCTGTGGAAGAAGCAGAAACTTTTCTTACATCAATGTGTCCGAGTTTGTCAGCAACAGTGAGGTTATGTTTGCAGTCTTTGAAAGCTTTAAAGAACTCTAGATTGACAGCTTCTAATTTTTTATTGCTGGCCCCAGAGCAACTGCCTAATAATGAGTAAAATTATGAACAATTAATGACTACCAGCCCTTTCAACCAGTTCCTAACATACTACCTTCTTTGTCTTAATATCTTATTGGTTTAGCATCACACAGTGCTTGAACCATCAATTTTCTCTTTTACATGACTCAGTACCAAGGTTCAAGGGGTCTTACAGGTGAAAATTTTACCAAGCTGGCTTTATTGCCTCTCCAGTTGACTTCATTGTGCTGGAGACCCTCCAGTTGTCATTTATAAGCAACCTGGTAATCTAGAAATTAACAAATAAATACATGTTTAAATCTTTGCTACGTGAGCCTCATGGCTACTTGCACATTTGTCTTCTTATAACTTGGAGGACCAGGACAAAAATGTCTATAGCTGTGCCATATTGGGTAACTCTGTTTTTCTTCCCCTTCCTTAAGCATGCTAGGAACTTACTCTGATGAGTTTGGGAACCTAGATTTTGATCGATCCCAGCATGGTTCTGGAATGAGCAACAGGTCAACAGCAAAAAGATTTATTTCTGCTCTCAACAACATTGCTGAAAGAACTTACAATAATTTATTTCAATTTCATCAACTTCGGCAGATTGCCAAAGAGCTAAACATTCAGGTATGATTAACCAAATACTTAGTAAAGCTGTTTTATAATAATTTCAGAAGGTCTTTATTAATATATAGTAGAACTGTCAAAAGATTTGGATTAAAAGAATGGAATAAGTGATTTTGTAGTACTTAAAAATACGAGCTTGTTTTCTTTAAGATACGAAATTCGTTGCTCAGAGCTTTAAAAGAAAAAAACCCTACTTTTCAAAAGAGTTTTCAGTGTCTTGATAGAGGGAAACATAGCAAGACTCAGTTTCCATGTTCTTCTGACAATCCTTGTGGGCAAGTCATCTTAACATATTTAAACCTCAGTTTTCTCATTTGTTAAATGGACATAATTGCACCTGCTCTGCCTTCTTAAAAGTTTTAGTGAAAAATGGGTATAATAGCACTTTAAACACGTAAAACAGCTTATATGGAAAATTGCTTACTTAATTTCAAAAGTTAGTCTGATTTTTGTTTTGAAACTAAGCTAAAACAAATGCAAAAGACTCTCTATATACTGGGGTTTTTATTTTTGATTAGCTAGGCATTATAGAATCCAATGTTCATATGTAGACAGTTTTCTCTGTAAGAAGTGCAAATAATTTTATTTGCCCAAGAAACTTAGCAATTGTATATTACTGTTTGAGAGATTAATTTTAAAAATCATGTTTTTGCACATTACTTAATGGGCTAAAACTCTTTTGATATTTTCTTCTAGGTTGCTGATTTTGAACATTTTATTGGATCGTTAAATGACCAAGGTTACCTCTTGAAAAAAGGCCCTAAAGTTTACCAGCTTCAAACTATGTGAAAGGACTACCAAGTCAGGCCCTCCTGGATTTATTAAGAAGAATATGTGCGTGCACACACACACACACACACTGTTCTTTGAAAAATGACATCCTAAAAGTAATAACAGGAAAAGAGTTTTGGACTAATTTAAGAAATGATAAAGCCAGCATGTTCATTTTTCATTTCTCCAAAAGGTTAAAAATAAAATGTTTACATTTTATCTAAATGATATAATTATAAATTCTTTATAGTTTTATTTTTGACTTTTTTTATTCTTACAAATATTTCATAGTTTTGCATATCAAATGTCCATCTGGGTAACTGTTTACAAAGTTACATTTTAATGTTTAAGTAGTTCTGACACACACAAAAAAAATGAATGAATATCTTAGAAATAAATTGAAACCAACTTTGAATTTCAGAAAAAATTGGAAATATTTTGTATTGACCTTTTTTTAATGGAGCAACTTTGGTTTGCAACATTATGTAAGTTTCATGTGTACAACATTATAATTAGACTTTTTGTATGCACTACTGCATGCTCACCAAAAGTCTAGTTTCCATCCATATATTGACATCTTAAGCTTAACATCTTAGCTACTGAAAAAAAATTTTAAATAAATAGCTTCTGTTAAAACCTAGCAGCCTCTGTTCCACTCTTCCACATGCCCTAATTTTCTGTTCAGTTTCAACTATTCTCCCATTTACCTCCATTTTTCTAAAAGACAGCTTAGTAATGCTAATTCTTGAGTTCTCAATTTAAAAACTTTTATTGATTTTTTTAGCTTAGAAGGTGAGAATGTGGTTCTCTTAAACCGTTCTGGATATATATATACACACACACCATTTCTTTCCAATTTAGTTAAATATAATTTTTTGTTAAATTTGTATTTAGCCTTAATATTATTATGACTATTGAATATTACTCATTTCCTTTCTTGTACAACTTTTTGTTTTCCCTAGAATTAATTTGTTTTTCAACTACTTACCTTTCTATGTACCTACCACTGTATTGACCCTGAGGCTCCACTGCAAGTCTGAGTCTCTTCTCAAACTATGCAGACAAATCAAATAATCTATTTTATCTTCTTGGAGACCCTTCTCCTAGAATTCTTTGGCCTTTCCAGTCTGAACTACACATCTGTCATCTTGGAACTTCTCGTTTTCTCTCCCATTTCCTGGCTTCTGTGTCTTCCTCTTTCTTGTTTTATTCCTCCCTTTTGGTGGAGCCCATTTTCTAGTAGCTTCCTGAGGACCAGTTTTTAAAGGCATATTCTACCCTTATTCCTAGATTGATATTTTGGGCATAGATTTTAGTTTGGAAATCATTTTCACTCAGAATTTTAGAAATTGCGCTATTGCTTTTAGTTTCCAGTGTTGCTGTGTGGAAATCCAAAGCCATTCTGATTTTTATTCTTGGTATGTGACCTTTATTTCCTCTTGAGAAGCTATTTTTTTTTTACATTTTTTATTGATTCATAATCATTTTACAGTGTTGTGCCAAATTCCAGTGTTCAGCACAACCTTTCAGTCATTCATGGACATATACACACTCATTGTCACATTTTTTTCTCTGTGATTTATCATAACATTTTGTGTATATTTCCCTGTGCTATACAGTGTAATCTTGTTTATCTATTCTACAATTTTGAAATCCCAGTCTATCCCTTCCCACCCTCTACCCCCTTGAGAAGCTATTTTTATCTTCCCTTTTCCCCTGGTGTTCTGAAAGTTTGTAGTGTTCAGGAACTATCCTGCTGGTTTCTCGTGCCCCCAAGTGTTGGCGTTATCTTAACTCTGTCTTATCCCCGTTATCAGTCCATCAACAAGTCCTCTCAGCACTATCTTCAAAATACCTGAAATCTGATTACCTTTCATTGCTTCCAGTTCCACCATCCTGGCCCAAGTCACTCTTGTCCAGCTTTGTAAAGACAGATTTTGCTTTATTCAGTACTCCTGCCCTAGCAGGTAAAACATTTTGAACACATACTCCTTGAGGTAGACACACACAAAGTGGGTGATTATCCCACTTATAAATGAGGACACTCATAAATGGTTACCACTTATAAACAGTTAAACAGCTTAATTTAAGTGTACAGAAAAAGAACAAGAGAATAAAAGAAGAGTTTCTAGTAAAAAGATGGAGGCATTCTCCCGTTTGTCCTGGGAAGTTGCTCAAAAGCAGTGAGGAAACTGAGAAGCAAATATATAATCCATCTTCTTCTGTGAACTAGGAAGCGACAGAGACCCCAAACCCCAGCACTGGGAAGGGCTGCCAGAAGCTGTCAGGATGACCCAGGCAGCCTGGCATGAAAGAGGAGGCAGAGATGATGTCTATGGTGGAAGATTTTAGAGTGAAGCAACAAAGTATTTCTTAAAGTGTACTTTGCACATCTCTTGGAGCCAAAAGTAAAAACCCCACATTTGCAAAAAAAAAACCCAAAAAAAAACACATTTGCAGTGTTGGGAATACTGAGTACACGTTGGCGGCGGCGGCTTCTCTCCAGACCTAGCTGGAATACGGGAAGTAATAGAGTAGAAGTTAAATGAAGTCACACAGATAAGCCACTTGGAAGGAGAAAAAAAAATCTGGCTGTCCTCAAATTCTCCAAAGCAACCTTAACCACTGAAACAAATAGAGCAATGTCTACAAACATTTTTAAGAAAGAACTTCATACCGAGGTGTTTCAGTCAGGTTTTAACTGCAAACCAGCAGTCAACCACCTTTTCCTGTAAAGGGCCTGACAGGAAAAATTGTAGGCTTTCAGGGCCTTATAACCTGTCACAACTATTCACCTCTGCCACTGTAGCACTACGTAAACAAATGAGTGTGGGTATGTGCCGGTACGACTTCGTTAATAGACACTGAAATTTGGATTTCATACAGTTTTCATGTATCAAGAGTACTAAGTATTAAGTTTTTAGTCCATGAATAACAACTAGTGGGTCAGATTTGGCCCATGAACCATGCTTTGCAGGCTCTTGGTTGCAAACAGTGGAAACTGATGATTAAGCAGGAAAAAGAGGTTTTTGAAAGAATTTTGCTTAGCTCACAGAATTGTTGGAAAGCTACTGAATTAAGAGGATGAACTTCAAAGAGCAATTTCTAAAACTGGCCCGGAGAGGAAGCTGCTACCACCCCACTGCCACACGAGGCACTAGAGGAAAGAGCTGCCGCCTCCATGCCCCACAGGTGCCCCGTCTGTACTGGGAACCCTGGGAAACTGCTGCCCCCGCAGAAAACTGGAAGAGTGTCCCCACCCACAGCAGAACAGCAACAAAGGATTCTTCATAGGGCCTGTATTTATACATTAACCAATCGCCCTCCTCACTTTCCTGTTATTTGAAATTAATATATTGGTAGTAGTCAACTTGGTAATTTAGTCCTTAGGATAGAGGTTATCAAGGTGAATGTAGCTGAACTGGAAGAGGAATAAATACCACACAGTGAGTGATAGATCTTTAAAGCTCCTTTTATAAAGAAGGGGAATAATAGTTTTTACATTGATAAGTTACAGTTGTCATTGTTACACAGATGTTTATGAACGGGTAGAAAATATGTATGCGTGTTGACTAGACAAAGAAATGGATGGCAGTAAATAAAGTCATCCGATACCCAACATCCGTCCCATCCTCCTGGTGTGCCTTCCTATAAAGCAGAGGCTGAAAAGCAGAGAAGTCACATTTCCCAAAGTCCTTTCGCAGCTAGTTCTGAATATGAGCCGGGTTCCATTGATTAGATGTCCTTGTGTGAGATTTGGAAGGTGAAATTGGAGAGCCGTCTTCTTGCTTGTTTTCTGCTCGCACGTGTAGTTGAGGAGACGTTTAGTTTCTGTGCAGCAGAACGTTAGCAGTTGTTAAGAGGCGGTTGTGTGATGCTGGCAGGCCCTGATTCTCCACCTTTCTCATTGTTGTGGGGGTAGCAGCTCCCCTGGCAAGCCAGACCTGCAGTGTTTGTCTGGGAGTCAATTCTGGAGACCCTCCAGCCTTTCCAACAATGTTACAAGCATCTCCATTTTAACAATCCTACTTTTTAATGTGCCAAGAATGGTTTGTGTTTCCTGCAACTAAACTCTCACTGATACACATTTATCCAAAGAACTCCACCCAGCTCATGTACTGTGTACTTTAAAACTTATGAGGCAATATTAATTCACAAAAACTACATACTAGTTTTATTTAAAGTTACAGAAGTCACCAGAAGTTACAGAGGTCTTTTGGAAGAACTAAAATCCAAAAAGCTATACCAGGTTTGCTCTGGAGAGCGGGCCTATGGCTGGAAAGGTAGAGGGTACTTATTTTCATCATCTGCTTCTCTACACAATGGAATTAGCTACCATGTAGATATAAAATTTGATAAAATAGACATAAAAATAATCAAAAAGGTTAAAAAAATTGAGTGACATTTTGACATTAAAACTGAAACTATTCTTAGTACACAGACTCGCAAAGTCGCTGAATAATTTGTGAAGACTACAAAACCTTAGTCTTGCTTCCATAAATGAATAACAGTTTCGACTGATCTCATCTAGATATATTGACACTGGACAGCCTGAAAACTTCTCTTCCTCGGGGATGGTATATTATGTATAGTATTGAAAAAGGCTGTCCTTCTCAGTCCGAAAAGCATCTTGAAACACAATATTCACGTTTGGCAGGCAGAATAATGTCGTCCCCTCCACCGATGACATCCACATCCTAGTCCCCAGAATCTGACCGTGTTAGGTTACATGGCAAAGGAAAATTAAGATTGTTGATCAGCGGGCCTTAAAATTGGGAGAATATCCTGAATTACTTAGGTAGGCTCAATGTAATCAGAAGGAAACTTAAAAGTGGAAGGAGGCAGGTGGAGTCAGTCAGAGGAGGATGTGACTGAAAAAAAGACACAAAGAGCTGCAACACTGTTGGCTTTTTAGATGGAGAAAGGGGGGCATCGGACAAGGAATGTGGGTGGCCTCTACAGTCTGGGGAAAGCAAGGAAACAGATGCCACCCAGAGCCAAGTCAATGCTGTGCTTTTAGCCTTGTGCGATCCGTGTTAGACTTCCGATCTTCAGAACTGTAAGAGAACAAATTTGTGTTAAGGCACTGTGTTGGTGGTAATGTGTTACAACAGCAATAGGCCACCGATACAATAGCGTATACACAGTGTTCTAACGGAGCTGAGATCTAGTCATGACACCAAAAAAACAGCTGTAAAACAAAGGGCAGGTTATGTCATTCCATTGTCTCCTGTATTCAGCACAGCGGGACCAGCAGCGCTTTGCAACTTACCAAGGAAAGCATGAGTGGCAAGACAATACTACCCTCTAGAGGCAGCATTTTTATTTTCACTACTTCCTCAGCAAAGGATCAATGAAAGGATAAGGAACCATACGCAGTGCAGCTCCACTGTGACTGCACAGTAGATGTTAGTAGCTATTGTTGCTAGCAGTTATGTTGTCAAAGAATTAACAAGCATGCTTATTTATGGTTAATTATTTACAATCCTTTCTCTTCTCCTGTTCTTTTGTTCTCTTACTGTTAGAAATTATGATTGACTACAGAAGTTGGGATAAGACCACCAGTATATTTTGCTTTTTTAAAAAAATAATCCTGATAAAAGGGTAAAGAGATAAAATTTTGAAATTAATTTCAAACAAGAGACTTAGGGTTTATATATGGATATTTATTTGGATTTTGGTTACAGAATTACTTTTCTAATCATTTTTTCCTAATTTGGGGGTAAAGTCCAGTGAGAAAGATTCCCAATCCCTTTAGACACAGGAGTTGCCCACTTATTTAGTTGATCTTATTGGATAGAAATGAACTACATAGAATTTATAAAATAGGGAATTAACTAATTATAAGCCAAACACTAACTGTAGGACTTTGGGGTCTCCTCTGCCCCCTAGCCTCCTCTAAACTGAATGTTTTTGCAAATATGCTCCACTATAATTTACTGTGTGTATCCTAAGAGCTTAGATCTGGCTTGTTGTTTTACTGGGTTTCTGCATTTTCTCCATTGTTCATCCCAGATTAATCTGTTCATTTGTTGACAAACCTGTTATGTTCTAGAAAATGAAATCAAAGACTGATATAGCTGGACATTCTCCTATCTTAGAACATTATGGAAATGGTTTGTTGGAAGCACTGTTACTTTTTAGTCCTGGACTGTACTGGGCTGTCATTGACCTTTAGGCCAAAATGCCAGACACTTTACTGTCCTACTTTATAAAGACTTAGTAGTAATGTCAGTTGTCCATAGTAAAATTGACTTTCTAAATACACACACACATATATATAATAGTTTCCTGTATTTTATTAAAATTTTTTCCAGCTTATTGAGATGTAATTGTCACATAACATTGTATAAATTTAATATGATTTGATACATGTATATATCTGCTACATATATATGTATATATTGGGGAATGATTACCACAGTAAGGTTAGTTAACACCTCTGTCACCTCACATAATTATTTGTGTGTGCAATGAGAGCATTTACGATCTACTTTCTTAGCAACTTTGAAGTATACACTATAGTATTGTTTTGGGTTTTTTGTTGTTAATGGAGGTACTGGGGATTGAACCCAAGACCTTGTGCATGATAAGCACAGGCTTTATCACTGAGCTATACCCTCCCCTCATAGTACAGCGTTGTTAACTATAGTCACCATGCTGTACATTAGATCCCCAGAATTTACTTATCTTATAATGGAAGTTTGTATCCTTTGACCAACATTTCCCCATTTCCTAGTTTACTATATTTAAAGTGTGGGTTTTATTTTATTTTGGGGTTAACTTTTTGTCTGATTTTACATTGAAGTGAAAAACAGAAGAACATAATGAAATTGCTACACAGACAATAGACAAAAGTTCTATTTTAAAAACTTACAATTCAGTAAATGTAATTCTTTTTGTTTTTCTATTATTTTTTCTTCTTTTCTCTTTTTCTTAATATAATGTAATTCCATACATGGAAATATACAAAAATACATGACTAAAATTGTATTTTAAACAGAAAACCATGAATGATATTTCATGGTTTAATTTCTGTGACTATCTTAATAGGCAAAATACTCACACAATAAGGCAATAAGTGAACAGATCAGGTGTTATTCTTGACAGTCCTGGATAAAACTAGATTCACATAAATTGACAGTACAGAGGTTGAATAGATAATTAACATTAACCAGAATTGAATTAAAAAAAAAAACCAAAAGATAAAGCGAATATCAAAAGGAAAAGAAATAAAACCTGCCGTAGCAACAAATGAAAAAAACATGAACAGAAAAGCAAATCACTGAGATCATATCCTCAGTGCCAGCTGTTACAGGCAGATGCAGCAGGGACTGAACGCTTATGGAGCAGAAAGAAAAATCCCAAGAGACAATAAGAAAGTGTCCTAAATTAAGGAAAAGTGGGAAATGTGACTAAAGGCAATTTGGTGAGTGGAAAGGACAGGAGACTGAAATACTGCCCACTCCCCCTTGACAGGATTATCCAGAATGTCTATGTATGAGAATTGAAGGTATTCGATTCCAATATGATTGTTTTGAAAATTACCCTTTTGACATTTGCTAGTCAGTACATTTTAATTTTTTCTCTCAATATCAATATTTCATGTGCCTAAGAAACTGAAGATTTCTTTTGATAAATACTCAGATCTACAATGATGTTCAGCTTCAATTGGTCTTTCTTAAACTACCTGAATTAAGTTTAAGATCAACTTCAATGTGGGTCTGTCATCAGACAGGGCTGAGGAGGACGGAGAGGGGGCAAGAACCATTCAAATTCAATCTGTCAGAGAACCCAAGAAGAAAATAACTCTGTAACACTGCATGATTAATAAATAGTAGTAGTATAACAGTATATCAATAATTAGTAGAATGTATGATACAATTTTTTTTACTGAAATCAGCTTACAAGGTGTCAATTTCTGGTATACAGCATAATAGTCCAGTCGCACATATACATACGTATTTTCATTTTCATATTCTTTTCACCATAGGTTACTACAAGAATATTGAATATAGTCCCCTGTGCTATACAGTATAAACTTGCTGTTTATCTATTTTATATGTAGTAGTATATGTAGATTTCGAACTGCCAGTTTATCCCTTCCCACCCTCACCCGTATTTGTTTTCTATGTCTGTGAGCCTGTTTCTATTTTGTAAATAAGTCCATTTGTCTTTTTTTTTTTATATTCCACATATAAGTGATATCACATGGTATTTTTCTCTTTCTGGCTTCACTTAGAATGACAATCTCCAGGTCCACCCATACTGCTGCAAATGGCATTATTTAAATTATTTTTTTTTTATGGCTGAGTATAAATTGTATAAATATACCGCAGCTTCTTTATCTAGTCATCTGTCCATGGATACTTAGGTGGTTTCCATGTCTTGGCTATTGTAAACAGTGCTGCTATGAACATTGGGGTGCATGTGTCTTTGAATGTATGATATAATTTAGATACTAACTAGTAATTAGTGTATATTAGCCAGTTAATTAACGATGAACTGATTCTTAATTATTCTGGCTCATCCTCTAATAAGCAGGTTTAACCTCTCTAAGCCTAAATTCCCTTACCTGGAAAAGTAAAGGTATTCATGGAACCTACAACGGGAGGATTAAACGGGATGATGTACTACGGCCTATAGGTAAACACTTCCGGTAAACGACTAGTAATTGCTATTACTGGCATTTTCTAATACCCATATTTTTGGCAAATGCAACCCTCAAACGAGGCAAAAGAGCAGATAGTTAGTATTAAACACTTCCTCTGTACCAGATACTTTAGTAGTATTTAAACCTCCCTCGCGGGCCCCTGGAGCCGCGCACACCTCGGGTTTCCGGCCGCGGCGTGAGATGACCCGTCCTCTCCTGGCCACGGCGGCCGCGCTCCGGCCCCCTCCGGCGCGTTCCTCTGCCCGCTCCG